TGCCTTCGGTAAAGGGGGGAGGGGGAGCAAAGGGGGAGGGTAGGGAGGGGGAAAGAGGGGGGGTGGTAAAAAGGGGAAAAAAGGGGGGGCTTAGTTGTAAAATGTATAAAGAAGAGAGAAACTGTTTTTGCTGGTGTGCTTGATTTGAGACTTGCCTGTCTCCTTGCACCATTTTGAAATCTCAAATAAACTTTGATTGTTTCTCCACCCTGGTATGTTTATTGGCGCGAAGCACACCGGGCAACGAACCCCACTGTTGCTGTCCTCGGGCCCCTGTGCCGGCAACACCACTGTCACTGCACGTGCTCCTAGGGCCCCTCTCAGGTCCAGGAATCTCCCTGGCCTCCCCTGGGGTGGGTGCTGGGGGAGGCTGCCTCCTCCCCGGCTTGATTCTACCCCTCACTGTAGCCTCACTGGGGGTGGGAGATTGCTGGGAGCCCCTTGCCCAGCGTGGGGCAGGAGCGGTGACTGTGGGCAGGGGAGGGGAGGGCTGTGCTGGTGGAGGGTCCCGCTGGAAAAGGGAAGGGCCTGAGGGGGAAGGGCAGGGGCAGTCTGGAGGGGGGCACTGGGACCCTGTGGCGGCAGTTGATGCAGGGAGGCAGCATGGAGCGGCAGGGGAGAGGCAGGGACGCTCTGCTCTGGGGAGGTGCGTGCGGGGGGCAGCAAGGGGAGGTCGGGGGCCACTCGGGGCAGGCACCTGGGGGCGGCAGGCGGGGCCAGGGAGGGAGAGTGTGTGTGTGAGGGGGTGGGGGTTGCATGAGGGAGGGGAAATTTGGGGTGTACCCTCTGTCTGATTTTTGGGGCTCCAGAGCTGCATAAAGCATCCAGAGCATACGGATTCATCTGGCCCTAAACATTTCATTCTTTAAAATAACTTAAGTTTGATGTTACACATCTTCAAATCATTGGAAATATCACAAGGCAGCATTTGCTTTGAGTTTCTTGTTCAGTGTTCGGGTAGCACATTTTTAATTAAAAACCAAGGAAATTCCCAGGCAAAATGCACATGAAAGGAGATTTAAGGTTCAGTGAACATTAGAGGGATGTTATAATTATCCCCATTAGAAACCCAGGGAATTAAGGGTTAAAAGAAGGTTAAAAGAAATCCAAGCAAATTGGGTTATGGAAATGCACAATTTGGGGACCCAAATCACCTTATATTTGCCTTGTAGGGACAAATGGAGAGAAAAATAAAGAAAAAAAAGGGCTGTCAGTTTGAATCCAGCGCGGCTCGGCAGGAATTATAAAGGGCTTCCACTTAATGGATGTTTGATAGCCCCTCCACATAATGAGTTTGGTGAGTCCCAGTTCCAGCTCACAACCTCATCGCTATTCTTTGCACTGGACAGTAAGCTCTTCAGAGCAGTGTCGCTCTCTTGCTAGGTGTTTGTACAGTGCCTACCACACCGGGGCCCCGATCTCAGGGGGTCGCTAGCAACACCTTCTTCGGCAGGGGACAAATTTACTTTACATTTACAGCAGTTGGCAGGACAAATTGTCACACACGCTTTGGGAGTGGACAGAGGAAGTTCAAAAGTCAGAAGACAGGCCAAAAAACACAACAAAGCAAACCCCACTAGTTGATCGTTTTAACCAGTCATGGTTACTGGACCCAGCACGAGTTTTTGGGATCTCTCTCGTGACCGTTTCATTCTTGTGGCTGGCAGGACAGGGCTGGGCGCGTTCCCAAATCCCTTTAAGCAGTTGGGCAGTGCTGGAGATCAGCATCTCTTGACACAGCAGCTCCCCTCACAAAGAGCCAAGAGTCTTGTGAAAGGGCCGAGCGGGTCCCACACCTCTCAATGTATTCTTGATTTGGATGACATGGCCGTGCCTGAGGGCCAGCTGAGAACAGGACCTAGTGTGCCAGCCACTGAACAGAAGTGAGTAGAAGACAGTCCCTTAGTGCTCGGAAAACGGCTGCGGCTGCGAGGGCGATGGGTCCTGCCCAGTGAGATTCTCCCCTGGCCGTGGGGCAGGCTCAGGCCCTCGGCACCACTTACCCCCCACCTCCGTTTTTCATCCTCCTGGGCTGCATCAGCATCTCCCGCAGCTCTAGAAATGCCACCAGGTAACCCAGGGCTGAAGGAAAAGCCCCACGGTTCTGGGCTGGGGAGAGCCGTGCCTGAGGCTGGCATCTCTATAAAATCTCTTCCATCTGGCTTCCAGGCCAGGCTCAGACAGTGTCTCTCACTGGGGCCCCTCTGCGCAGGCTCCCTGCCCACCCGTTGCTGCTACCTAGGGTGACCAGGTGTCTGGTTTTGGACTGGAACACCCAGTTGAAATGGGATCCTGGAGGTTCCAGTCAGCACCTCTGATTGGACCATTGACTGTCCAGTTGGTGGTGCCACGCAGCAGGACTAGCAGGCTCCCTGCTGGCCTCCGCGCCATGCCAGAGACTAGGGACACCATCACTGCCCATCCTGGCTAATGGGCATTGATGGACCTAGGCTCCATCAATGTATGTAGTTCTTTTTTGATAGGCGGGTGCATAACTGGTTGGATAACCATTCCCAGAGAGTAGTTATCAATGGTTCACAGTCATGCTGGAAGGGCATAACGAGTGGGGTCCCGCAGGGATCAGTTCCGGGTCCAGTTCTGTTCAATGTCTTCATCAATGATTTAGATGATGGCATAGAGAGGACACTTATAAAGTTTGCGGACGATACCAAGCTGGGAGGGGTTGCAAATGCTTTGGAGGACAGGATTAAAATTCAAAGTGATCTGGACAAACT